GACCCAGGTGCCAAGCAGAAGGGTCTGATGCTGGCAACAGGGGGCAGGCCCCTGCATTTGCCGGCAGCAGCGGGGCGGAAACAGAGCAACTCAGCCCCAACCCGCTTGCCTGGCCGCCAGCCACATTGGTCCGCCCCTACGTCCTGGGCCTGATAACCCTCCCTCAGGCTCGGAGGCCGTGGACACAGCAGGGGAAGTTTCCCAGGAGAAGAGAAGCTGTTAGCCAAAGCCCCTGAGCGCTGCGGCCCCGGAGCACAGCAATGAAGAGTGCGGACAAAAAAGCCACTTCAAAGCCCAGTGAGAAGGCCCCTCGGAGCCTCCGGGCCCTGCAGCATCCTACGTCCTGGGCCTGATAACCCTCCCTCAGGCTCGGAGGCCGTGGACACAGCAGGGGAAGTTTCCCAGGAGAAGAGAAGCTGTTAGCCAAAGCCCCTGAGCGCTGCGGCCCCGGAGCACAGCAATGAAGAGTGCGGACAAAAAAGCCACTTCAAAGCCCAGTGAGAAGGCCCCTCGGAGCCTCCGGGCCCTGCAGCATCGGCTCTGCATGGAATACTTCGGTCCGCGCGAGCCCTACCTGAGTCGTAGGCATAGTCCGTCTGCTCCTGCTTGATGACCACTCCCGCTGGGTACCGGTGGCCGCTGCTGCCTCCCAGCTGGCTTGCCTGCTCATACATTGGGTCATGATACTCCTGCTTGAAGCCCTGCTGAGGGTACTGCAGGCAGGGCTCGGACATCTGGCGCTGCATGGAATACTTCGGTCCGCGCGAGCCCTACCTGAGTCGTAGGCATAGTCCGTCTGCTCCTGCTTGATGACCACTCCCGCTGGGTACCGGTGGCCGCTGCTGCCTCCCAGCTGGCTTGCCTGCTCATACATTGGGTCATGATACTCCTGCTTGAAGCCCTGCTGAGGGTACTGCAGGCAGGGCTCGGACATCTGGCGCTGGTAGGCAGCTGGGGCTTCGCGGCCCAGGCCCTGAGAGGAGGGGAAGGAACGGCACATCTCCGGAGCTGGCTGGGAGAGGGAGCTGAAGGGGGGGAAATAGCCGATGGGGTGACTGCTTGCCCGCGTCGCAAACTCTTGTGGACCCAAGTGCAGGGATGGGAGGGACAGAGATGCGGGGGTTGTACCTTCATCTGGACACACACACACACACACACACACACACACACACACACACACACCCACAGCCACAGAGGGAGACACACACACACCCC